CCCCGCCCCGGGGGGGGGGCCCTGCCAGCCCCGCCCCACCCATCACCCCGGGCTGGCTGCACCCGCCCTGGTGGCACCCCAGCACTACGGCAGGTCCTGCCTCTGCTTGGCAGGGTTTCTTTCACCAAATCACTGCCTTTCATAAACACCTCATGCTTTCAGTTGCCTCCCAGCTTTTACCGGATTTCCAGAAGTTTCAGTTTTCACTAGAAAAACTGCTACCCCATTTTAACTGAAATTAAGATACGAAAAATCAGTATTTTTCTGATCCTGAGAAGACCATTGCTAAAACTCCCCTTGATCTGAGAGCTTATTTAGCCCAGAGTGAGTAAGAGAAAAGCAGGAACTGTAGGATCTCAGCACCCTCACCTGCCAGGCAGGGCTTGAGCATCTAAGCTGCCATTGGGTGCTGGCACCCACAGAGCTCCTCCGGGTTGGGGTCTGAAGCTCCAGCTTAGCCAGGCACACAAGCAGGGCAAACACAAGCACAGCACATACCTCACTCTGTAAGAGCTCTTCCTTAAATTCCTGTTTTGAGGAAGGTGGTTTTGGGATGCCATCCCAGGGCTCACTGGGGCAGCAGCTCCGCGTGCACCACACTGTGCTGCCGTCTGCGAGGAATCCTCCCCCAAAAGAGAACCACAACTGCCACAGTAGCTGCTGCTTAACAAACCATGGTTTAATCCATTAATGGAGCAGAGCCAAAATGAGTGAAATAGTGCTCAGGGCAAATCTGTCCATTTTCTGGTGTCTCTTGAATCTCAGCTGGGGCAGGATGAACTGGAGCAGTTCTCTGACAGCAGACACAGCATTGCTGGGGAGAGGACGGGGGGGAGAAAAAGTCATATTGCAATCAGTACCTGCACAACCCTTTCAGGAGGTGTTCATCAGCTTGCAAAGTGTGCTTCATTCAAGCGCAGAGAACCTCTCCAAACTCTGCCCATATGCTGGCTTACTTAAAAAAAATCAAAGCCAAAAAGTAATACCAAAGTTGCATCAGCAATGGCATCAGCCATGACCGCCCTGTTTACGCATCCTGCATAACTAGAATCAGAAAAATCTCCACTTTTTATGGGCACTTCATTCAGTTTTTAAAAGGAGATGGAAATGACACACAGACTATGTGCCTTCTCCCTCTCAGGGACTTTGCGAGGCAAAATCCAGAAGCAAAGCCCAGAGCAGGAACCTGGAGTGCAGGGAGGTGATGCTGCTCGGGAAGGGAACCATGCTTGGGCAGGGGACTGATAACCTTCCTTGGGGCCCATCTCTCTTCTCTCCTCTCAGGGCTGTTTTTGACAGCATCAGCCCCTCTGCTCCCCCTGTGCCAACGCAGGTTTCCTCCCTGTGCTGCCCTGGGAGCCTCAGCTGCTTCACCTGCACAAGAGTAACTCGCACAGAATCCCTGAACCTGGCATTTACAAAAGCCACAGCATTGTTCCTGGGCTCTTCACTGCTCTGTGCAGGACTCATCATCTCTGGAGGCTGACACTGCCTGACAGTTACCTTGTGTTCCCAGTGTCAGGTACACCAATCCCCTCAGTGGAGCAGTGACACGGGCAATATCTTCAGCGGTGCCCACTGCCAGGATGGCTAGAGGGAAGGGCAGGCTGCTGTCTTTCTCCACGTCGCTGCCAACATGACAAAACCTGCAGCACGGCCGTTGCACTGGCGTGACCCCACACCCTGCATGCACGGAGCACAGCACCTTCCTGAAGCCAGCAGAACCACGAGGCGTCTAAAATAATAAGTATGCATACAAATAAAACTGTAAATAGTAAAAGCTTGGATGCTGGGTTGGGCTGCCCACACATGTCCTGGTCACAAGTGCTCCTTGGCACCAGGAACAGCAATGAAGGAAGGAGCTAAGGAGCTCTTCAGGAGTCAGCATGGGGCTGGACAGGCCTATTAGCCCTGGCAGAGCTCCAACCCTGCCAGATCCTCCTGTAATTTTCAATACAAATGGAAGCACAATGCAGGAAGCTACAAACTGCCTGTATGAAAAGCTAGCTTAGGTCTGCAGGGTTTAGTAGCCTGGGCTCCTGGCCACAAGAAAATGCCTAATTTGCTCCCAGACTGCAGCGAGACCTAGAAACCACACAGGATGTTTTTGCTGGGCTGCATGTAAACAGTGAGTAGGTGTCACCTTGATTATCCAGCATTATACATATCTTTGAGGAGGACAGGCTATTTTGCACCAGTAGTTTTCATGACACGTGATTAGTGCAAAGAAATACAGGAAGAGGTGGAAAAACATTTCTTATATTTATTCTTACATGATGAGCTATCATTCATGGAAAAAGTCTTGAGTCAGGTTTGGCAAGTAGCTGGATCCCACCACTCCCTAGACTGGGCAGTACACAGCAGGGCCAACTTAGGCTGGAGCAGAGGTGAAAGGGAACCTAAAGGAGGGTGTTTCTATGGGAGCACAGGCAAAGGAGGCCAAGCTGCTGTGGCACCACATGCGTGGGCTGGTGCAAACCATGCCAGGAGAAGAGGAGCCCTAGCACTGGGAGCCCTGCTACTGGGAGCCCACCCCTGCACACATCAGCAACAGCCACAAAGCTGCACAGGGCTTGGGAAGATCTCATCTCTTTAATAAGGTCTTGAAATCAGTTTCAAAGAGGCAAGAGGGGAATTATTCAAAATCCTGGCACAATTCTGGGAGAGAAAGCACAGGGCAGGTTTGCCCATCACATTAGTATCCTGAAGGGATTTAGAGCAGTCTGGTCTTGAAGGGATGAGATCCAGATTTAGCTGTCATAGAATATTAAACCACTCTGTTATGTTGCAGATGAAGGTACAAGCAAGGTACCACACTGCTCAGTCCTGACAGGACTGAGGAACTTCTATATATGACCAGAAGCAAGATTTCAGATACCATGGGAACTTCAGTGTCTTAAATACAGGTGCCTATTAATTTAGGCCTATCAAGGGCTGAGCATCAGCTCAGTACATATTCGGAAGAACACAGTTTGACAGACTGAGGTGCTTAAAGTGGGACTGAGGTGTGCAGGAAATTTGACAGTACTTTTGCAAACTTCATCCTCATGCAAGTCACTTACCTAAAGCTCATTTTTAAGCTCAAATACTCCAGTTTCTCCCCGGGGTAAAATCTGAACGTAACAATAGTAAAACAAAACAAACCCACAATCCAAACCAAACAAACAAAAAGAAAACTTACAAAAAATTAACTGTAAAACTGAGCATTCTGCTTCTCCAGTGTGAGATCTGGACATTTTGTTTGTATGTTCCAACCAGCCAGGCAACAGAAGTGCCAGCAGATACAGAAGACCACAGTTCTGTTGTTTGGGTATTTGCAATCCAGCAGCAGTCTGGAAGTAGGGCAGTGGAGACCACGCACTCGGGGACAAGTTTGTACCAGTGGTGGTATTTAGAAAAACGTGCTTATCAGAGAACTCTTGTTTTGAACCTCCCTTCCTGTTCCTGCTTTGGTTCTTACCACAGTGGGCAGTGCAGTCTGTGCCAGGTCTGCGTATCGGCGCGGTGACCCAGCAATGATCCCGCGAGGCCCTGAGCTCTGGGTGGCAGGCGGGCAGCCAGCAGGGCCTGCTGGCCTCTCTAACCTCTCTGCACGGCCTTTCACACACTCAGTTGTCATTTCCCAAGTTGCTGATCTCCGTTAACATTCTCGTACACAACTTCAGGCTGCTGGGGGCAGAACAGTCACGACTCTCCTACAAAAACTAAGGCAAGGAAGTATTTTTTTCCACTAGAGAAACTTTGCCCCTACTTTAGACTCTGCTTCTAAGGGAAAGGATGCTTAAAGCTGTGGAGATTGTTAAGCAGTATCCCTGG